TCGTTTACATATTCAAATCGGCAAACTCGCGCGCGGTCGCCGCCGGGTTGCCTTCGGGGCTCGAACGCCGGTCCGCACGAGCTTTGCCGCCCGGGCGGAGAGGTGGGGTGGCTCTGGGGCAGAGCGGAGGCCAGTGGCTGTGCGCGTGTCGGGCAGGGGACCCGCGGTGTAGTTCGCAGTCCGGCTTCGGAGCGTTGGGAGGAGCGCGCGTTCCGCCCCCATGGGCCACCAGGTCTGGTGCCCAAGATCTGTGTCCCGGTGCTGTGCCAGCCTTACAGGCCTCCAGCGAGCGCTAAACGGAGGGGCGAAGAGCCCGGGGACTGACTTCCCTCCGTGGCTCTGCCCGTTTCCTTGTGGCCTTCCTGCCCCGCCCCTGCGCTCGGTACTCTGATTCAGGAGGTACGCCATGGGTGTCTTGCCAAGATGAGGGGATGCTGACGCTAAACCTGAAAGCAATCGGGCCAATTCTGCATGGTTCGAGCAAGAGGGCCTCCAGGCACCCAGTGGCTCAAGGGGCCCTGGTGGCGCCGTGGTTAAGTGCTGCAGTCCCGGCTTCTCAACTGCTGAGCGAGAGAAAGAGGTGGCAGTCGGCTTCCCTATAGTTTATATCCCCAGAAACGCCATGGGGTTCTTCCACCCCGCTGCCGGAGTCCAAATTGACGCAAAGACAGCCAATTTATTTTTGTTGTTGCTTTATTTGTTTGTTTTTCCATGGGTAGCCACGGTTTCGGGTCCCCACAAGTTCACTGCACCCTTGTCTTAAGCAGGGTGGCAAGACACAACATAAGCGTAAAGTCTAGAACTTGAAGTAGAAGTTTTGGGGGAAATCTCACCCTCCCTTAGCAGCTCAAGATTCCTTCTCAGTAGTACATACTTAGTTCCTGTGTTGGCCCTGCCCTGGCCTGTTTCAAGTCTTTTGAAAGGATCCCACTACCCAACATTCCGGGACCCCTTTAGGTGCTCTCCCTGTTGGAGAGACAGCTTGTTCCTGCAGTGAAGAAAGCTCTTGCTTCTAAAACTTGGCCTTAGTAATAGTAAATTAACATTTCATAATGCCTTTGCATTGATATGGGGAATAGCAGATTTGGAACAGATAGATGCGTTTTCTTTGGACTCAAACAGACATGCCAAGGCTTATGTGATTTAGACAAAGTTACCTGCATTCTCTGAACCTCTGTTCTCCAGTAAAGCTTCAGTGAGATGTGCATAGAACCCTTAACGGTCTATGAAAACCAAACTCACTGCCGTAGAGTCAGTTGTCTCCTAACAACCTGTTGGACTGGGCAGAACGTCCTCTGCGGGTTTCTGAGACTGTCCATATTTACAGAAATTTAAAGCCTCGTGTTCTGGTGGTGGCTTAGAACTGCTGACCTTGCAGTTGGTTAGCGGCCTGAAATGTACTCCACTAGGCCACTAGGGCGCCATTGCTGTATATGAGATGGCTTTTAAAAGTTTGTGGGAAAAGATCATGGAATTTTCTGATGAACTTGCTGGAGTTCCCCTCAATTTAGGTAATCAGCATTTCTCTTCCTTTCCTCCACCTTCCTATGCTTGCTCCATGACATGTGGGTGAAGGGCAGGCGCTGGTTCTATTTACAAAGCATTCTGTCGAAGTAGTGAGTGGACGAGGGAACATAAGTAGAGTGTGCCAAACACACATTTATGAAGTAGCAACTTCATTTCTTAGGTTTTTTTGTTTTCCTGTTGTAAGATGGTTAGGTACAGCTGAAGTTTCCGAGTTTTAGAGATCCAAACTTTAGATGTGGTTGAGTGGGATTGGAAAGCAGTTTCCCGGGGTGTTTCTCAATGCTAGTCATGTGGTTTTGTTTTTTTCCTAGACCCAGCATGAGTGAAGTTCCTTGCAAGAAGCGGGATGACTATTTGGAATGGCCCGAGTATTTCATGGCAGTAGCCTTCTTATCGGCGCAGAGAAGCAAAGATCCCAGTTCCCAAGTAAGTGTGTTTTAGAGGAGAGCGTCTGAACATTCGCAGACCCCAAAGTGCCTGGAATTAGACGGCAATGGGGGAAGCCCTGAGGGCCTCAGTCAGTTTAAAAATGCCAAGTAAATCTGCCTTTCCAGCTGCGTTCTTCCATGCTTATATTTTCCTGTGGGGAGTAAATTGTCACATGCCATGGGTAAATGCATCTCCTCCCCCCTTCTGGGTGTGTGGGATGTCACAGACACAAGTAAGGAGACAGTGCTGATAGAATGTCCAGAAGAGGTGTTGCTGGATTTGGAGCTCTGCAGCCCGCCCAGCTTCATCCACTGCCTCCCCGAGTCACCCAACCTCGGGGCATGTTTCTCTGCAGGTCGGGGCCTGCATCGTGAATGGAGAAAACAAGATCGTGGGGATCGGGTATAATGGAATGCCCAATGGGTGCAGTGATGACCTGTTGCCTTGGAGGAGGACTGCGGAGAATAAGCTGGAAACCAAGTACCCTTACGGTAGGGCAGCGTGTGCTGTGTTCTGTTAGGATGGCGCGTCTAGGTGCATACTTAAAAGGAGAGGCTCAAATGCGTGGCCCTTGAGTTGATTCTGCCTGTGGGGACCTCGTGGGTGTCGGACTAGAACTGTGGGCCGGTTCGATTAGAATAGAACTAGGGGTTTCATGGGCTGAGTTTTCAGAAGGAAATCTCTAGGAACAAGAAGGAACAGACCAGAATGCTCTTCAGAAGCAAAGATGGTGAGGTGTTTGCCTCATGTACTTTGGACAGGTCATCAGAGGAACCAGTCCCTGGAGGAGGATGTGCCTGGTGAATGGTGGGAGGTGGTGTCAGTGAAAAAGGACCCTCTAGAGGAGGTGGATGGGCTGAAATGTAACGGTGATTGTGAGGATGGAGTCGGACTGTGCAGACAGGGTGTTGTTTTGTGTGTGCGCGGGCGGGGGTGGGGGGCACTGGGAGTCCGACTGAGGAGATGGCACCTAACAAGAACCTGTCTCTAGGCCTGCTTCCGAGGCACCTCTCGGTTACCTTGAACCCCCAACCTTTTGGTGAGCAGTTAAGCACATTAACCATTGCACTATCCAGAGCAGTCAAGAGTGAATCCAAAGAGTTGCCCTTGAGTCACTTCTAACTCCTGGGGCCGGGAGCCCTGTGTGTCAGGGCAGAATGTTCCATCGGGTTTGCTGTGGCGGATTCTATGGAAAGCAGGCTCTAGGGTTTTCTTCCCAGGAGTCTCTAGGTAGACTCAAACCACTAGCCGTGTGATCAGCAGTGGACTGTTAACGATACCATCCCCAAACCCAGTCTAACATCCAGTCAGTCCCTTCTTGGTCAGAGTAAAACTGATCCTTAGGGTTTCTGAGACGATCCATCTTCACAGGAGGAGTTTTCTCCAGCAGAACAGCTGGTGGACTTGGACAGCCCATCATAACCTGCAGCTCCACCTGGGCACCCCTCAAAACCCAAACCCAACGAGACTCACTGCCTCAGAGCATCCCTGGAGGGCAGGGAAGAACTGCCCTGTGAGCTTCCGAGGCGGTCACTCTTGAAGGGAATAGAAGGTTCCTCATTCTCCCGTGGAGCTGGCTGGTGATTGCTAACTGCTGATCCCGCACATAAAGAGTACACCACCAGGGCTCTGGTACACAACCCAGGGCCTCCTAACTGAGAACGCTCATCAGAAATCCTCATTTAGCCTTTTCAGTCATTAGCTGCTAAAAAGGAAGGCGTCTGATTGCACAACGGACTGTCCTCTTGCCGTGCTTGAAATTCCAGAGTCAACAGAGAGAGGCGTGAACGTGGCCACTCTGCTGGGCCTGAGGGCCAGACTCTGGTCTGTTTGGGGATCTGGTGTGTTTCACAGGCCACCTGCTGAATGCTGCTCTGTAGAGGGTCTTATGGATTGAATATGGCCCCCCAATACCTGTTGTGGACCCCACTGATTTCCGACTGGTGCCTTGTGAGTTGCGGTGAGGCTGGAAGTTTGGCTCCCGACACTTCAAAGAGGCCGCCCCTGGTGGACAGGTTTCGGTGGAGCATCCAACACCAGGACCACCTGCAGAAAGGAACCCTGGTGGCACCATGATTCAAACACATGGCTGCTAACGGAAAGGTCAGACTGTTGTCACTGTATGTTTTAAGCCTGTCACTTTTTTTCCCCTAACAGTTTTCTTGGCATATAATTCACAAATCATACAATTCAATCGTTGAGTCATATCAAGAAGACTTGTACAATCACCACCACAATCAGTTGTAGAACATTTTCTTCATTCTTGTACTCATCGTTATTAGCTCTCTATTTCCTTCAAACATCCCTTGCCATACATCCAAGGAACCATTTATCCACTGACTGTGTCTATAGGTTTACTTTTTTTTTCCTATAGGTTTACTTATACTGGATTTCGTATACAGAAAAACATTAAAAAGCAAACAAATAACAAAAGAAACTTAACAACAATAATAAAGTCAAACAGATAAAAAACCTCAATCAAAAAGAAAGCAAAAAATACTAAAAGTTAGAACACATTTAAATGGATCATAAGGAAGATCAAGTGATAGGCGCTAAGTTTTAACATAAGTGCATCTGCGACAATTCACTTTCCAGTGCTTTCTATGTTAGCAGTCATCCCGTCACAAAAGGAGTCTAGGCACAGATGGAGAAAGATTGCTACCAGATCTCCCAGGAACCAGAGAAGAGAAGAGACAGATTTCCCCTAGAACCAGGTACCCCTAACGGACTGAGAAGCTAGTCTCCGGTTTCCCAAAGTGGGCACTGCTGCCCTCTGGGGGCTTTGGAACAATCCAAAACCCAAACTCACACACTGCCATCGAGTTGATGGAACTGCCCGCTTGGGTTTCAGGGACTAACTTTATGGGGAGTAGAAAGCCACCTTTCTCCCCTAGAGCACCTGGTGGTTTCAAACCTCTGACCTTGTGGTTAGCAGCCCAGCCCCTAACCCACTGCACCACTGGAGTTCTTAGAACAATCGGGTGTGGGTGAGGGTGGGGGTAGGGGTGAAGGCTGCAAAAAGCCCATTACATACCCTTTTTCCTGGGTTATGGGCTGTAGTACCAAAGTTTTTTCATCGCCAAGGGGATGATGAGTAATAGTGTGTGAAAAGGGGGTGATGGGCCAAGTAAGTCGAAGGATCGACACTGTAATACGAAGTTTTCGTTGAAACCCCCCTTTTGTGGGGTTTGTGCCGCAGCAGCACTGAGTAGCTGAAAAGGGCCCCAGCCCCAGCTCCTGGTGAGACAGCCGAGGAGTGTGCACAGCAGCCCAGCTGGCTCTTTTGACCGTGGAAGCCGCCAGCCAATCACATGCCTGACAGAACCCTGCCCAGTAAGTAAGCTCGTTCAGCCCATCGAGAATCTGGTTCCAGCTCATTTCTGGGTAGCAGCAAGCTGGACCCTGAGAGTTGAATGAGGCAGTTGCTTCCTCGTGGGCAGGAACTCTAATCCCAGGATGGGCCCAGATCGGCTCAGAGGTTTCGTGGGCAATGACAATCCTTTGCTGTGACTGGATTTTCACCTTTAAGAAGGGGTGCTGCTGAGAAGGTGTTGCCTATCTGAGCCCCAGGGAGTATCACTTTAGAAGTGACTGGAAAGGGACCAGCCACAGCTTCGCTTTTTCCCCCCTTGGACAATATAACTAACGTCCTAGGCCAGTAGAGTGGATTCTACCTTGCAGTTACCCTTGTGTGCAGAGTGGAACCACTCCGTAGGATTGTCAAGGCCTGTGGAAGAATCCCTGGTGGCTCAGTGGTTACGCTTTGAGCTGCGATGCACAAGGTCAGCAGTTTGAAACCGCTAGCTGCTCCATGGGGGAGAGATGGGGCTTTCTACTCCTGTTGGGAGTTTCAGCCTTAAACTCAGTTTCTGCCTTGCCCTACAGGGTCTCTGTGAGTCCGAATTGACTCAGTGGCAGTGAGTTTGGTTTGGGTGTTTTGAACTTCCAGAAGCCGATCTTCCAGCAGCCCTGTCTTCTGAGGCGTGTCCATGTGGGCTCCAGCATGTAGGCTTCTGCACCATGCTGGGCCATCTCCTGATGACCACTCAAGAGAGTGGCAAGTTCTGCTCGCTGACTTTTCTTGATGTCAGCCCTCTGTCACCGAGTGGATTCCCATGCATAGAAACCCTTTAGGACACACAGAGTAGAACTGCCTTGTAGGGTTTCTAAGGCTGTCAGTCTTCACAGAGAAGCTCACGGCCACATCTCCTTCCTCTGGAGTGGCTGGTGGGTTCGAGCCAGCCAGCCTTTTAGTTAGCTGCCAAGCACTTTAACCACCGTGCCACCGGGCCCCCTTTCATAAGGACAGGCCCTGAGTTTATTTGTGTGTGAACACGAACAGATTGGCACTGTCATAAGTAAGGCAGATTACGGCCATCCAAATGGAGGAGACAGATTTCAAAGCATGATATAAGACCTTTATTCTTTGTTGACTCTTCCTTTGTAGATTTTCCTCTGGGTTTTTCTCATCAGGAACTCCAAGTCTTCATGAAGTCTAATTGATATATTTTTTACTAATGTTCCTGGACCCTCATTATGTTAAGGAAGCTCCATAAATTGTCCTCGTCACAGCGTAAGGGCAGCTCCTCTGTTGTAGGAAGAACAAACACCAGAGGTGCCTGGAAGTCAAGAAGGAATTGGGGGGAGGGTGGGGGAGGACTGCACTGCACTTGGGGTTCCCAGGGAAGAGGAAGTAGGTTCGGGATCAAGGTTTGTCGATTTAACTTCAACCCCTGTAGGATTAGGGAGCCTGTGATTGGAGGTAGGAAGAGTGTAAGAATTTACTCTTAGCCTCAGCTTTATCGCTCATTGTAGTCAGTGCCATAGGGGGTTTTGCGTTGGACTGCCAATCATAAGGTTAGTGGTTTGAAACCATCAGCCATTCCTCTTCATCCATAAAGAGTTACAGTCACAGAAACCACAGGAGCAGTTCTACCCTGTCCCAGGGTCCCTGTAAGTTAGACTTGACTCAGTGGCACTAAGTTTGGAGTTTTCTGGATCTACAAAGCTCTGCTGGCCAATAAATCAAAAGCAGAATGAACATCTTTCTGGAAGGATTCAAAACAAAAAAAAAACCACATTTGTCCCAACTTCACTGATGACTTTTTTATTGAATTGTTTCTGGGCACTGGCTCTGAGTATGTGTTTGGTTTTTAGTATCCATACACTACTAGATTTCCAAAATTTTATTTTCCTTTCTCGAGTATTCACTTTACATACAGCCATGATAGAATGTAGACATTTTCTTTCGAAAGAGTAGGCGTGCCATTAAGTGGTTTTGAAAAGGCGCTTGGTATTACTGCCATCATAATACATGGAGCGGGTTTCTGGTCTAAATACAGCGACTGTGGACGAGCCAAGCTTTCAGCCCTGCCTTCGAAGGGACGGCATGCCACAGAGAAACAAGTGTTGGCATAGCGCTGAGTGAAACAAATCTTCGGTGATAACTAACAGGCGAGTTTGTTTTTAAAAAATTCTGTTTTAAGATTTC